CCATATTCAAAACGTAATAATCAATTTAATCTAGCTTGCGCTCACTGTTGTAAACGGAAGCAGCTCCGGGGGAATGACGTATGAGGCCGGCTTTGCGCATGCGCCGCTCAGAGGGGACGCACGCGAAAATGCAGCAGAGAGATCAAAACAAAACAACGGTCACTTATTAGAAGTACAAAACGAGGATTTGTAAAGAAGAATGTCAGAGGATTTCGATATAAGCCAAGAGGAGACTGGTTTTCCTTTGCTAAAGTAAGGAAACTTTGCTTCCTTGTCTCCTGTAAACAAACGTTGGTTTTCACGAGACTCGCCGGCGCATGCGCAGCGCTGACCTCTCATACATCATCAGTCCGGAACTGCTTCCATGTACAACTGTTGGCGCAAGCTAGATTAAAGTGATTATTACGTTTTGAATATGGATATTTTTCATTTATTTAAATGAGGGAAAACAAACTAAACTGGTATCGGCCAATACCGAACCCTAGGTATCGGAATCAGAGGCGAAAAAGGCGGATCGGAGCATCCCTAGTTTGGACTACAACATATATTTTCCGGGATTGGTGATATCACAAATACCGACAAATGGGACGAGACCTGGTTGAGCTGCACTAGAGAAGGCAACGAGTGTTATCACTATGTCGGAGACGCGCTAGCTTTCCTAAGGCAGACAAACTTAGAGTGGTTACAATAACCCGGGTTTAAATCGCACTCAAATTGATTTGATTTTGACGTAATATTTACACTGAAGCTCGCAGGCGGCTATGGTAAGGGGCGTGACATTTCCCGACCAGGCGCCGAGTGGTGCCAATCACAACACACACTGGCCCAGCTAACCAATCAGCACATTTCGTATTTCAGAAGGTGGGCCTTCATTTGATACAGGAACTATTCGAGCCGTTCATGCCAGACTGGGGAGAGAGGTTTTGTAATAATGTAAAATATGTGAAAAATAATGTGTTTTTCGAACAATCTAGTATGAGAGCCTGTTCTAGTACACCCCCAAAACAAAATAAAGACTTTGTAAAAGAGCATAATAAGACCCCTTTAATAGAATATAATGCTGATCCTGTAAAATAAACACTATATATGGGCATAAATACTCACCTCTTTAATATTTTTGTCCATGAGTCTGTGTTTGAAGTTGATTTTGGAGGCTTTGACACATGTGCCACTTCTTAGCATGTAGCTAAAACGTAAAACAAACATTTGTCAAGTGAAAAAAAAAAAAAATCAAATATTTTTTTCATCATAAAAAGTGATGAAACCATTAGAAAATAATCTGACTTAAGAATCCATCATAAAAGCTATTTTAAATGAATAGTTCACCAAAAAATAAAAATGTACTCGCTCTCAGGCCATCCAGGGTGTAGATGAGTTTATTTCTTCATCAGAACAGATTTTGAGTAATTTAGCATTACATCACTTGCTCACCAATGGATCATCAGCAGTGAACGGGTACCGTCAGAATGAGAGTCCAAACTGCTGATAAAAACATCTCAACAATCCACAAGTAATCCAGACGACTCACTTCACAAGAGATTAATTGATGGACTTGAGTAATATGGATATTGTGATGTTTTTATCTGCTGTTTGGACTCTCATTGTGATGTCACCCATAATGCAATGCTACATTTCTCCAAATGTGTCCTTAAGAGGAAACAAACACATCTACATATTGGATGGCCTGAGGGTAATTTTCAGCAAATTTTCATTTTGGGTAAACTGTTCCTTTAAAGAAATGCACTTCTGTTAGTGTGGACATTATTATTACAGACTACACCCACCAGTTTATCAGATCTTTTCGTAAACAGAAGAGATTTCTTAAAGCAGACAGGTGTTCTGGGGTGGAGTGAAGAACCAGGCCAACAGCACCATGGCAACCAGCACAGTTAAGGACTTGGTAGGTGCTACAGAGAGAGAAATCACAAGATGATGGGACATCCAGCACATGCATGGTGGACATGAGCTGCGGTAGTTGAAATCAACAGACAGCAATACTTACGAGAAAGCCAGATGACCATTCAAACTCATCTCCAGCTTTTTATTCACCCTCACATCCTCAGTAACTTCTGCAAAGGTAAAGTTTCAAATGGAGAGGTTATAACAAAACAGTCACACACGTGTGTCTTTTTCAAGAAGTATTCATGACTGCATCCATATCTGCACAATTTTGAGTCCGCATGCTTTCAAAAGTATTCCCAAACCATCTTACTCAGACAAATGATACTCTGAAGGCTCTGGACTTCCCCACAGATGCCGCGAGAGTCTCCAAGCACTGTGTTGCATGTCATGCATTGTAGGACACTGCAATTCCTATAGTCTACCATACAGATTTCTCCGTCCTTCACTGCTCTTAGCTGATCTGCAATTGAACTAGTCTGTGTCGAGTCACACGGACTGATATCATAAGAGCTTTCGTGAAAACTTCGATTGCTGTTCGACATTATTACATCCGCAAGTTTTGTCGTTCTTGCTCACACAAGTTCAAAAGACGCAACCACGTTAATTCGTTTGTTAGCTCGAACTTTGTGGCGCCCTAAACCGCTCACTCATAACCTGCCTTTGTCGAATCCTTTAAGCCAATCAAAACCAACGAGACATAAACGCCACTTCTTATTGGATGTAGTGCAGCATCGTCATATGCTTCTCACCCAATCATCTAGCGGAAATAGCTGTTTTTGAAACACGTTCATTTTCAAACGGCATTCCCACCTAAAGAAACCGAACCGTGTATCAAAGAGTAGTCAATTTCAACATTACAGTTATATCTGCTGTTTTACCATGGAAATTATCCACAATATGGATTTGGATTCGCTTAAATATGCGGAATTGCAGCGCCTCGCGAAAGAGGCTGGACTGAAAGCAAATATGAAGGTAAAACGCGTTTACTACGGTAAAGTGATGCAGTGATGCTTGCTTGCAGCCATTCCATGTGTACTTAACGACCTGTATTGTGTAAACTGCATGAGTAAAAGTAGATTTATCACGTATGTTTTTATACGGACGCTGTACTAAGTCAAGTATGGTAACTTTTCGTTAGGTTTTGGGTTATATTGTTGACGTTTTTGCGCTAAATCACAACCCTTTCATTTAATTTGTGCTTGAATGTTTTCTGCTTTTATTAAATACTCAGTTTTTACTTGTTTCTAGGCTGAAAAGCTGTTGAAAGCTTTAAAAGAACACTTTTCACAACATCAACAGCAGACGTCTGAGAACGTGAGTATTTTTATTTTTGCATTGTCAACCCTCTACGCACACCTTGGCAATATACCGTAATCGCCATTGGCTAGTACATTTTTTTGTTTAACGTTACTCGCCAGACTGATACACTATTTTACACACACACAGACACACACGCGCGCGTTTACTTAGCTATCTAAATGGGGACATTACATAGACTTCGATTGTTTTTATATACAGATAGTTATACACTTTTTAACCTAAAGCCACCCCTAACCCTACCCCTCACAGAAAACTTTATGCATTTTTACAATTTCAAAAGTAAAAAAAAACGGTTTACTTTATTTTTATAACAGTTTTACAAATGAGGACATCCACAAATTGAGGTTTTTGCCGATTTTGTCAGGTTTTTCTCACATTTGGGTACAAATTTGTCCCCAAAATATGGTTAAGTATACACACACACACACACACACATGATTCCACCCAATCAGCTTATCTTTGTAAAATGGAACAGCTTCTTAAATAACTGAATGTGCACTCTTAACTTCAGCCATGAGAGCTGTTCGCGCATTAGCTCCGCCCACTGCCGAGAAACCGGCATATCTTCTGCTTGTTCTTAAAAGCTGAATAATTCTAAATGAACTTTTTTACATGTACATGTTACATGTTTACAAGACTCTCACTCTCTCTCTTTGCACGTGTGAGAAACACAGCGCTATCAGTAAAGCGACGGCGAGTCGTGCGCCTTCACACTAGTTTATGGTACGCCAGGTGCGCTGCGTACTACATACTGCGCATTCATTGAGTACATGACATGATCCATTGAGCGCATCCAAATAGTACAGATCGCTTGACGGAGAGCGAAACTCTCGCGCTCAGTCAGCGTGTTTATCGAGTGAAAATCTGTGTTGAACGCCTCTCACACACATACTGGCGTGTAAAATCTAAGAATTTATTAGCCAATGGCTAATGTTATACGTTATTTAGTCGCCCAGAGTAAGATTTAGTCGCATATGCGAGTGATTTACTCGCAATGTAGAGGGTTGATTGTCACCATAGTCTTTCTGAAATGAGAAGAATTGTTGTAACAGAATTGCATTGCATTGATGGCAGGGAAATGATGCAGCCACCGTGGACGCTCACGATGCTGTCTTAGCGGTGGACGAGCAGGGCGCGCACACTGTAAGGTTTGTGACCGAGCGCCGAGGAAAAGGCCGCACCGCTAAGAGAAAGCTCAATGACTCCACACCTGTCACTGCTCAGGTATTCATGAGCATATGTACATTATTTTCAATCCAGACTGTTTCATCTTTTACTTTTAGCTATTATATCTAAGTCTTGGGTTTTGTCATTCATTTTTTAATATGTAATATTTAGACTGAAGAAAAGCCGGGAAAAGAGGAGGGCCGAAGGGGCTCTAAGAGGAGGAAGGTGTCCTCAGCCGAGGACACACAGACTCCAGTTCAACCTGAAACTTCGACTAAAGAAGATCCTGTGGAGAAAGGTCTAGAATCTGGGAAAACCAATCTAGACTCTGAAGATGCTCCTGCAGAGCCAAGTGTTAAAGGTTAAAACCGCTTTGATTTTAAGTTGTTCATGTAGATGTTATTAATTAACCTTATAATTAAGATCTAATAGATGAGAGAGATAAGTTACCTTTTAATTTGTTCCTGCACAGTATGTGTGGTGTTCACTATTAAAATGTATATCTTGCAGGTGTGGGGAGAAGAACAGTGGGTAAAATCCCCCGTCTTGAGGGTCTGATGAAGAGAAAGCCTGCGCTGCGGCCGACAACTCCTAGTAATAAGATCCTTCCAACTTTATACACTAAAACAAAATATATTTTCCAGTTCCTGTACTATTCAAAAGACAGTTTCTTGTTCTTGTTTAGTTCATTGTTTCACTTGAGCTTATTTAACATATGTAACCAAATATTCTGAGCTCTGCCCTTGAGTAATGTGTTTGCAAATCACTCTTCCCCAGACTTCAAGAAACTCCATGAGGCTCACTTCAACAAGATGGAGTCCATCGATTCTTATGTCCAAAGGAAGATCAAACAAATGGAGGTGTTAAGGAATTCTGTCAAGGAGCTGAAGGTAAAAATAGAGTGAAACCCTGGCCTATCAAATAATAATAACCAGTGTTATTGTCATTAAAGGGATAGTTCACACAAAAAAAAAAAAATTATTTACTCACCCTCATGTCGTTCCAAACCTGTATGACTTATTTTATTCTATGGAACATAAAAGAAGATATTTTGAACAATGTTGGTAACCAAACAGTTTTGGTTTCCATTGACTTCCACTGTATGGGGAAGTCAATGTAACTTTTGTAAACAAAAAAGTTTGTTAAAATTACAAACTGGAAAAAAAAAAAAAAAAAAAAAAAAAAAAAAAAAAAAAAAATATATATATATATATATAACTGACACAAAAAAAACTGAATAAAAGCTAATTCAAAATATGATTAAAAAAAACTAAAATAACACTGTTTTGAACAGTGTAGTTTGTTCCAAATGTTTTCTTTATAAGTGGTTTATTTATTTTTGTAATTTCAGACTGTGTCTGAAAAGACGCTGATGAAATCGGTTGAAACAAAGGCTCAAACTGTAAGTCACCAAACAGCTCGAATATCAGCTGTAGTATCAGTCTGTGTGTCTTCACGATTCACTGTGAATTCACATACACCCTTATCAAGTTATGTGTCAAATAGTGACATCTTAATAAAACTCTGGAAAAAAATCCAGAATCTCACATCTTGTTAAATGAGAATTTAAATCGAAGACTTCGACCTGAATTATAAGCAAACTTTGGTATTGTCTCCCTTTAGAAGGTGCCTGCTAGCCGAGTGACTCTCTTCAGTCCTGGAGTGCAAGAGAAAAAAACATTGGCAGAAAAATGCAGGCTCACTCAGCAATCTGCCAGCAAGTCCGCTTTGAAGCACAGCGCCACCTTCAGGCCAACTGTCCTCACCACTAATAAAATCAATGTTAGGTAAATACATCAATGGGCTCTAATTAACTTATGTTTATAATGCTTTTAGTATTGAAATTGAGGTGCTAAAGCCAAGCATTGTGGTGTTTAAATGGAAAATAATTTATTAATATATAACAAATTTCTACAGCTGTACTTAAATGTTGACTTATCACTTAACTGCTGCGTTTCCATCTCTAGGTTCTCGCAGACCACTCACGATAACGAATATAAGCTTTCGCTGGTAAAGACTCCAGGTCGTATGTCTCCTCTCATCCCTCTTACTTCCACTCCAGGGAGGAAATCTGATGTTCATACCAAACCTGAACTTAATAAAAGTGTTGGTGCCATTAAAACACCTGGTAAGAGGAATGCCATTACACTGCGCTAGTCATTTATTAAAAAAAAAAAAATTATGACTTTTTTTTTTTTTTTTTTAAGGAGTTACTCCATTTGTTTTTAACGGGAACAACAGTATGTCAGTCACCCCTAGTATGACCAAGAAGAATGCATTTGATCTGAAGGCCAGTCTCTCTCGTCCACTCGCCTACAAACCGCACAAAGGTATGTCCACACTCAGACAAAAATATGAATTAAATGCCCAGAACTAACATGTCAGGCAGTGCTTCCTTGAATTGAATTGTATCTGCTTGCTATTCATTGTCGTCTTTTATCTCTGCAGGAAAACTGAAGCCTTTTGGAGCTCCACAGGAGAACACAGCACTGAATAAATCTGAGACTATTCCTTCACACCAGAAAAACTATAAACAGCACCAAGTTCAAACCAGGTGAGGGACTTATTTTAGTTGTGCATTGATTGGTCACTACTGTTCAAAAGGTTGGGGTCAAATTTTTTTTTAAAAGAAATTAATACTTTTATTCAGCAAGGATACATTTAATTGATCAAATGTGACAGTAAGGACTTTTACATTCTTACAAAAAATTATATTTCAAATAGGGCTGCACGATAAATCGCATGCGATATTTAACGCGCATCTTGTCAGAAAGCCGGTTCTGTAATCAGCGGTAACGATTTATCGTGCAGCCCTAATTTCAAATAAACGTTCTTTTGAACTTTATATTCATCAAAGAATCCTGAAAAAATGTATCAAGATTTCCACAAAAATGTTTCTTGAGCAGCAAATCAGCATTTTAGAGTGATTTTAAATAGTAATAATATTTCACACTCTTACTGATTTTACTGTATTGGTCAAATAAATGCAACTTTAGTGAGCATAATTTAGATAATTAGATCTAACCGACCCCAAACTTTTAAACTGTAGTGTACATTTGAATTTATTGTGCCTCATTGTCTTAAATGAAATTTCTCCACATTGAATATGTTTTTCCTTTTAACTTTCAGAAAGGAGCGACGTGCCAAGCACACAGAAGACCGAAAAACGAAGAAAGAGGTG